GGTAACATTCCCCTGAATTATATTCATCTGTAAAATTGACACCCTAAATCTTACTCATAACAGAAACGGAGGATAAGTCTTTGATTCTTGATATCTATTTATATTGTTGTACGAGACTGAATGGAGCTAAAACCTTCATATTAAACCTCTCATGGAACTGCAAAATCAAAATATTACTTGCACTATTGATGATCAGCAGAAAAATGCCCGAACGCGATAACTTTCAATCAACATGACAATAAACAATGAGAAGCCTTAAGCTATTAGGAAAAAGGATGAAAGACTAACGTGGAAGGATGAATAGAGGTACTAGTGCAAGTTACTGCAGTGGTACTGTAGTAAGCGATTAGTAAGGTCAGCGGTTGTCACCAATTTGCAAGGTGACCGCTCAACCCCGAGGGCGGCTATGTTTTCGTCTCATCACAAGTGTGATGTGTAGTTTTCCATAAATGGAATCCTCTGGCCATCTGCATTTGTAAAGGAGGACTTAAGTTGTTACCTGAAGATCATGAAAGTGTTGATCTTGCGAATAACAACGGTAGTATTTTTATCGTCGAAACTCCTTCGGACCTAGCAAGTGCGATGTTCGGGGGCAACCACAGTGTACTTATTTGAGTTCTGCCTACTCAAAAAACATTTTATTTTCAAACTAGCAACCTCCACCGTACTTTTATCCTGGGATGCCTGGTATGCACGGAAAGCCTGGGCTCCCCGGGGCGCCTGGACGTGATGGCCGTGATGGACGCGAAGGAGTCCAAGGTGACCGGGGCAGCCCAGGGAAGACTGGGCCCAAGGGACCCCAAGGTCCTAAGGGAGATCCTGGTGTGAAAGGGGAACCAGGAGCACTGGGTCCTCCCGGCCAAAAGGGGCGGAGAGGAGAAAGTGGGACAAACGGAATCCCTGGGACTCCTGGTGCGAAACCTCTAAAGAACTGGAAAGAGTGTGCCTGGAAGAACGTGAATGACGGCAGAGACAATGGCTTGATTAAGGTATTTGTCTCTACATTTAATTTCATTGCACAATGAAATAAGTTGTTCTCTGCTTTTAGGATAGATTACAGTTGGCCGATAACTGTAGACTATGCATGTCCAAAAGGGACAATATATCAAGATGTATTTATTTACATCAAGTTTTATATATCTATGTCAAGATTAATATACACATATCAAGATTAGCATACACGTAAAACAAGATTTCAATATACACACCAAGATTTACGTACACGTATCAAGATCCGCTTGCAGGTACACCAAGTCTAATAAATATTGATCAAGATCCTCTTACATGGATCGATAATCAAATATCATATCGATGTTCGCGTACCGACATCAAGATACGCATTTGTACATCAAGATTCGCATATATACATCGAGATTTATACATCGAGATTGTGATAGGCTTGTATGATGCACTAAGTGAAAAGTTTGCCTGGTTACTTAGCACGACATTAGCGTAAGCGTAAACATAAGAGAAATGCATGGTGAAATGTCTCATCTCGAGCACTTTTTCTAGGAAGTTCTGAGAACTCTCCACGAAGCAACTGAAGGGCTCAACGGTCAGCAGTGTGAGCCAAATCGTGCGAATTCCCTCCTCTATCGTCTTCGTGACTTTGAAATAACTCTTTGTTTGATCTCAAGCCGACTTGCGCCACTTGGTTCATTCCTGAGATCAGTTTCTTGAAGACATCGACGAACTTACAAGGGCCCTGCCCTGTGTTTGTTACAGGCAAGATATTTGTCCAGGTACAATAATGAAAGTGTCACAGAGCCTGGTAATGAAGGTCTTTTTCAGCTTGACTGTCCTGTAGAATACACGGGTCAGACAGGCCGGCCACGGTATAATGCCGACAACGGTACAACGGCTGCGGAAAGAGTCTTTCAAGTGGGTGCCGGGGGACATCGTAAAAATTCTTGGAGTTTCTTCAAAGGCATTGATTCATTGTACCTGGAAAAATAGCTTGCCTGTAATGAACACAGGGCAGGGCCCTTGTAAGTTCGTCGATGTCTTCAAGAAACTGATCTGAGGAATGAACCAAGTGACGCAAGTCGGCTTGAGATCAAACCAAGAGTTATAGAGGAGTGAATTCGCACGATTTGGCCCACACTGCTGACCGTTGAGCCCTTCAGTTGCTTCGTGGACAGTTCTCAGAAATTCCTCGAAAAAGCGTTCGAGATGAGACATTTCACCATGCATTTCTCTTAGCGTTATCTGCCGCGATTGTTATGTTTACGCTTACGCTAATGTCGTGCTAAGTAACCAGGCAAACTCTTTACTTAGTACATCATACAAGCCTATCACAATCTCGATGTATAAATCTTGATGTATATATGCGAATCTTGATATATAAATGCGAATCTTAATGTCTGTACGCGAACTTCGATATAATATTTGATTATCGATCCATGTAAGAGGAACTTGATCAATATTTATTAGACTTGGTGTACTTGCAAGCGGATCTTGATGCGTGTACGTAAATCTTGATATGTATATTGAAATCTTGTTTTACGTGTATGCAAATCTTGATATGTGTATATCAATCTTGACATAGATATATAAAACTTGCTGTAAATAAATACATCTTGATATATTGTCCCTTTTGGACAAGCATAGTAGACAGAGCTGTAACCAGCTTTCCTACATTCTGAACCCCTTTGAAAGACGCAGCAATTTAATTTTGTACACCAGTTAATTACTACAGTTACTCAGGCTATATTTTCTAAAAATATATATATGTATGTATATTACCTTAGTTAGTCAGTGTTTCATGCATTTGACGAGAGAGGACCAGCAGGCCAGGCTCTTTCGAAACAGTTCTGTAGGGCAATGGTATAATTTTCCCTTTACTATTCCACTTATTATATAGCTCCACGAGTGTAGAGCACTCTGCGACTCTAAAGGAAAGCTTTGTACATATTTATAGCATTTGAGGAATAGAAATGATCTTATATAAAGGCTCTAAAATAATCATCATGAAATTATGATTACACNTATCATATTTCACCAAAATCCTTACTATGTCTTACGTATAGGAAAGTTGGAAATTAAACATTTCCTTCCTTACTTAAGCAAGGACATACATTCGAAAGTTCGCTATATCGTGTTTAGACTCTTGCGCATGCAATGTGTTTGACCGCGCTGTCTTAAACAGACTAAGTTAGGAAAGACTCAGTATGTGTGAGTATTTTAATCATAATAGTTATTATTTTCTTTCTTAGATTCCTTAGAACGTGACTTCTCTAAAAACTAAGTTAGGGGTGCAGGGATGGCGGAGTGGGGAGAGCGCTTGCCTCCCACCTGTGCCGTGGCCTGGGTTCGAGTCCCGGATCTCGTGTTACATGTGGGTTGAGTTTGTTGTTGATTCTTGTTCTTGCCCCAAGGGTTTTTCTCCGGGTCCTTCGGTTTTCCTCCCTTCACAGAAACCAACATTCCAAATTCCTAGTCGACCTGGAAACAGTGGGCAAGAAGAGCAACTTAGGTGGATGTCCACTGCTGAAATTAGCATTACCACTTAGGAGAGCAGATTTCTAAATACTTTTTTTTCAAGAGCGATTTTTGTACGATCACTCCACATTTTTTTAATCCTATTTCAAAAATTTTCTGTTACTTTTTACTGAATTTGAATATGGCAAATCGCAGACACGTTTTTTTTAGCGCTTTCGCCCCGGAAACGGAGGAACACATTAAATAAGCGAAAAACAAAATTTGCTTTAACATGTAACGTTCAAATGGTGATTCGGGCGCCCACAATTATATAGAAGTCGTGAAAAAGTCGACAATAAATTTCTTTCAAAATTTTTGGTATAGTCTGATAGCCAGTCCTGTAAGCTTTAATTTGATATAGGGGTTTAGATATCTACAGCTTAAACCGGACGCGCTACATCGCTTGCACGCGAGACACCCCTGAAGGTGCACGGTAACCTTAAGTTACCGATCAGAAGTATCAAATGATCTAGCATATTTGACTTTAATAACGCTTTACCGAGCGTGCTTTTAAGATCTTTGACAATTTGTAGGTCAGTTAGGTCAGTTATGAAGGCTTTTGTTGAATTTTTTTTCTTCAAAGACCAGACAGTTTAATTTGATATCTACATAATAACTTATACATAATGCGCTATGAAGACGGTGGACGAATTAGCAGA